TATATTAAGTAATCCAAAGTATTCAGAATACGTTACTCTCATTGAGTAACGTAACGGAATACGTTACAGAATACATTTTGGGGCATGTATTCTGTAATGGAATACATTTTAAAAGTAACCTTCCCAACACTGCTTGTGAGTAGGGTTATCACAATACTCAGTACTCAAGGAAAATACTTGACATTCAATAAAATATTGGATATCACAGGTGTAATTATTAACATAATTTTAAGATGTACATATGAAAAATATTTTATGATTCTCTTAGGGGTTGCCAAAAAACAAAAAAGACAAAAATTTTAGGTATTCTGAGGTAATGTATTGTTTCTTGGGATTTGGCTCGACATTTTCTTTGGTTTTCTTGTAGAGTTGGTCTAAGTGCTGAAAGACTTTTTTTAGTTTCAGTCTGGTACTTAATAGAACCATATCACTTCTTTGACAGAATTAGGGGTTGAGAGTGTTCCCAGAGGAAAGATTAGTGATTTCAGCAGACTTCAGTGGGCATGTAGGTGCAGGGAACAGAAGTGACGAGGAAGAGTTGGGTCGCATGACTAGGCGAAAAGCAGGATGACAGATGGTGGGGAATTTGCGAAAAGGGTAGAAATGGTTATGGTGAAGACATTTTTTATGAATTGGGAGGTACAAAGGGAGACTTATAAGAGTGGAGAAAGGTGCACATAGGTTTGACTTTGGACATTAAGAAGAGAAAGTGAGTGTAAAACAGAGGAAAGCATTAAGTGGGGGATGTCGAAGAAGGAAGAATTTTGAGTTTAGGAAGAAGTGACACAGACTCTGGGTAGTAGGGAAGAGTTACCAGACCACTGGAGAAGTCCAGGCTGGACAACTACAGATGTGATTTGCTTTTTGGCATATGGCATTTGTGTTGATGGAGGAGTATATAGTATAGTGAAGGTCAGAGGGAGTCGCACAATGTCTTTGTGGAGCTAGAGAAAGCATTTGATAGGGTGCCAAGAGAAGAACGGTAGTACTGAGGAAGTCAGAAGTGGCAGTATGTGAGGTTGGTGCAGGACATGTGTACAGACAATTAGACAGTGGTGAGGTGTGCAATAGAAATTATAGATAGGTTCTAGGTGGGGCTGAGATTACATCAAGAATTACCCCTAAACCTCTTTTTTTGTGATGAATAGACTGACAGATGAGGTCAAGGAAGAATTTATTAGGATTCTTTATAGTTGATTGTGATGCTTGCAGAAAACATTGTAATCTGTAGAGAGAGTAGGGAACAATTTGAAGAGAGACTGGAGAAGTGGAGCTATGCACTGGAGAAAAGAGGAATTAAAGCCAGTTGAGACAAGACAGAAAGCTTCTATGTGAATAAGAGGGAGAAAGGTGGAAAGGTGAACATCACAACATAAATAGTAGAGGTGGGGATCACCATACATCCCACGATACGATATTATCACAATACTTAACG